CAAGGATTACAACTTGGTCATTGAATATCATCCAGGCAAGGCTAATGTAGTAGCCGATGCATTGAGCAGGAAGAGCTCATCATCCGGGGTTTTACTCACATGCTTACGGGCACTGAGGGGACGCGTGGAGGTATCCACGGATGGGGCGCTATTGGCCAGATTTGAGGTGAGACCCACCTTGTTAGATGAAATCAGAACATGTCAAGGCAATGACGAGGAATTTCAGAAAATCCGGGAACGGATGCTTGTGGGGCCCGTCGAGGGTTTCCGTGAGAGAGAAGATGGACTTCTACTATTCAAGGAACGAGTGTGTGTGCCATCGGATGAGGAGATCCGAAAATCTATCCTTGAGGAGGATCACTCATCTGCGTATGCCATGCACCCGGGCGGTACAAAGATGTACCGGGACTTGAAAGAAAGTTACTGGTGGTCGGGGATGAAGAGAGAGATTGCAGAATACGTGAGCCGTTGCCTTACTTGTCAACAGGTTAAGGCAGAGCACCAACACCAAGCAGGGTTACTACAACCACTTACCATTCCAGAATGGAAGTGGGAGCATGTTACCATGGACTTCGTGGTGGGTCTACCACAGACGGTTAGGAACTACGACACAGTATGGGTGGTAGTCGATAGGCTGACCAAGAGCGCTCATTTCCTACCTATCAACACTACCTATACGCTCGAGCGGTTGGCCAAATTGTACATAGATGAGATTGTGAGACTGCATGGGGTTCCGGTTACTATAGTATCGGATAGAGACCCACGGTTCACATCACGGTTTTGGCCTAAGTTCCAGGAATCCATGGGTACGAAATTGAGGTTTAGCACCGCGTTTCATCCTCAAACGGATGGACAATCTGAACGGGTGATTCAGATCTTGGAGGACATGTTAAGGGCATGTGCCTTGGAGTTCCAGGGGAGCTGGGACAATCAGTTGGCTTTAGTGGAATTCGCCTATAACAACAGTTATCAGACGAGTATAGGCATGCCTCCATACGAAGCATTGTATGGGAGGAAATGCCAGACACCATTGTGTTGGGACGAGGTCGGCAAGGCTAAGCTCGAGGGCACCGAGTTAGTCGGGATCACTAAGGAGAAGATAAAAGTCATACATGATAGGCTCAAGGCTGCCCAAGACCGGCAGAAGAGCTATGCTGATAAACGTCGGAGGACGTTGGAGTTTGAGCTTGGTGACGAGGTATTTCTGAGGGTATCACCTTGGAAAGGGATCATCAGGTTCCTCAGTCGGGGTAAACTTAACCCACGTTACATAGGTCCGTTCAAAACCCTTGAAAGGATCAGGGTCGTAGCCTACCGACTCCAGTTGACTCCAGAGTTAGAGAAGATTCACAATGTGTTTCATGTTTCTATGCTCAAGAAGTATGTGCGGGACCCGTCACATATTCTTGAGAAACCACCGGTGGAAATCCGAGAAGACCTGCACTATACGGTGCAGTCGGTGAAAATCATGGGCCGACAGGTAAAGAAGCTAAGGAGAAAAGAGGTGTCGATGGTAAAAGTACTTTGGAAGAGTGATCGTGTCGAGGAGCAAACTTGGGAAGTGGAGACCCAAATGAGGGAACAATATCCATTTATGTTCGATTAGACGCGTGGATTTCGGGGACGAAATCCCAAATAAGGGGGGTAAAACTTGTAACACCGTCCCCGAGTATTTGTACTGTACCGAATTATGTATTGAACCCTGAGAAATGAATAAAGGCATTTTTACGTAATTGTAAATTTTTGTCATTTCTTTTACGTGAAGAGTAAAATTCACGTGGTGCCCACACCGGAAGTGGGGCCGCCCGATATTATCGGGACCACATATTATGTTAATCTTGGACCAGATAATATGTATATGGTGGTGGATATCCTAATTGGGCCGTGGCAATGGCACGGGGTTGACCGGTTGGTCAAACGGGGCCAAATTATCGGTATCAGCAAATTTATCAGATAACAGCCCAAAAAGGGATTCCGGAGACTTCTAAATTAAAGTTGAGGAATGCATATTCATTCTAAGGTCCAATAAGGATTGGGAACAAGTGTTATATTTTATTTTACCCGATAAAATAAAATATACTTAAAACAGTCCGGAAAATACAACTTTCGAGACCGATTGTACACTCCGGGACACAAAGGGTTGACCTCCCACATGAGTGGGGGCCAACCCACGTTCTTAAGCTGGTAAATGTATAGGGGAGCCGCACCTTTAGGATGCTGAAAGGGAGTGAGAAGGGGGTTGGAGACAAGGTGTGAAAGAAAGGGGGTCCCTCCCTCATATCATTGATGAATAATCCAAAAAGAACACTCTCAACCACCCCAGCACATACACTGCGTCCCAACCATCATCTTGGAGGAGAGAAGCTCTGCAAAAACTCCATTTTCATCCATCATACACGCACCAAGTTAAGGGAGGAAGAAGAAAGGAAAAAGAGAAGAGAAAAGAGGAGTTTAGGTGGGAAAACTTGTGTTTAACAAGGTAATGACTCCATAAACCCCATTTCTTGTTCTTCAATCATTTTATACGATTATACAATCATATTCCACGCCCTAGGATTGTTCTACACATTTGGAAGTTTAGAATGAGGGGTTGGAAGGTGGTTCTAAGTCCAAGAACGGACTTAGAAGCCAAAGTGACCGGTTCGCCGAAAAATAACCTTTTTGAGGTTATTTGTATTACTATGGGTTTTATGATGATAAAACCTTGTTAGTAACTTGTCTAAGGTATTCAAGGAACATTCACGCAGTTGAAAGGGGTCGCCGGAGTTGTCACCGGAGTTCGTTGAAGTTCGCCGGAGCTAAATCGGGAAGGCTAGAACTTCATAAGCTTCATTAAGGTGAGAAGACGGCTTTATGCTTTATAACTTTTGTGTGAGGCATGAGATTACCTAAAGTAATCAAAAAACATGTTTTATGGAATGATTAAGAATAATCAAGTGTTTGCTTATGCCATGATTTTGCATAAAACATAGTTGAAAAGCATGTTATGTAGGTTTGGTGATTAAAAATGTGATAACTTATTATGTGTGGTGTTCCAGGGATCCAAAATGGTATTTTTGGATCAAGGACGTCAATAAGTAAAAGTTTATAAAATTTCACGTTAATCGGACTTCGTTTAGGCGATCAAACGAGCGTTGACCGCCAAGACGAAGGTGATACCCGACCGGGTATGGGTAAATACCCGACCGGGTTTTGATTAAAAATGGCTTCAGAAGCCACTGCCACACTAGACCCGACCGGGTATGGGTATAGACCCGACCGGGTCTCAAGTAAAGTTGGCTCCAGGGGCTACTGCCTCACCCCACCCGACCGGGTAAGGTTGGATACCCGACCGGGTATTGGGTTATGCTCAGAACGGGCAGTTTTGAATAGGTTAACGTGGGCCGTTCGGGTGGGACCCGCCCACGTTGGATCCTAAGGATTGTTCTATGACTATAGGGCTAGGCATTGTCCATAGTTAAAGGAATGAAAGGTTAGCCATATCCAGGTTAGGATTTGGTAGAGGATAGACTGGGGATTGAGTGCCCTTGGACGGTAAACGATCCAGAATACTCCAGGTGGGGTCGAGTACCCTTGGACGGTAAATGATCTAGAATACTCCAGGTGGGGTCGAGTACCCTTGGACGGTAAATTATCCAGAATACTCCAGGTGGGGTCGAGTACCCTTGAACGGTAAATTATCCAGAATACTCCAGGTGGGGCCGAGTACCCTTGGACGGTAAATGATCTTAAATACTCCAGGTTGAGTTGAGTGCCTTGGACGGTAAATGATCCTAAAACACTCGGTAGTATGAATCGAAGGTAGACTATAGCTTGTGAGCTAGGCAACCGGGAAAGGAGTGAGAAAAGTCAGGTAAGAACTTTGTCTCTAAAAGACTCTTTAAGGTAAATGACCTACGAGTTGAGTATTTTACGAGTATATATACAGTATGTATCATCGGGTGGATGAGGGACATATATATATGTATCACCCTATTTTTGGGTCTCGTGTCTGAAACATTAGTTATTCTTCATATAGCCTGCTTGTCACTAGTACTTCTATGGAGTACTGACCCCTCCGGGGGCCCTCACATTTTTCAGGTTGAGGCTAGAGTCCTACTACCTGTACCTTTGCCTAGGGTGATCATTCGAGGAGGAAGACGTGGTTCGTGCTTCCATGCGTATTTTTGAAATTTATAAACTGCTCATGGATTTTTGAACAATGTTTTCATTAAAACAGTTGGGGGCCTGCATGCCCGTGTTTGCCACGTGTGGCTAAGTATCAAACATATCATTATTTCCGCATTTGTTTAATTATGATATTGATGTTGATTGTATGTGTTTACTAATCGGTTTGGTAATAGAATCAATCGGACGCCTTGTACAATTCAATAGGGATGAACTGCTGTTGTTCTTATCGGGTCGTACGGCGGTTGTCTACGTGGCTCGGATGCGGTCCGGGGCGTGACATGATCCTCCCTAAAGCTGTGGTACTTGCCACGAGGCTGGACTCCTTGACGGTCCTGACCTTGAGAGCATCTCTCGCTTCCGATGTCGCCGGGCTCTCGTACGAATCCCGCACAACCGAGCTGTAGTCCATATCTCACGGTCTGGAAGGAGGCAGCTCTCTAAATTGATTGCGCAACGCCACAGTCTGGAATTAAAATCCGCCTGCATGTACCTCTCGCTTCCGACCACGCCGGGCTTTCGCACGAATCCCGCACATCCGAGATCTAGTCCATATCCCGCGGTCTGGAAGGAGGTCGCTTTTTGAATTGCTGGCGCAACACCAAACAGTCTGTAATTAAAGTCCGACTGCACACAGTGCATCACTGCAAATTCCAGCCGAGCTCATGTGAAAATCTCGTAGCTGAATCACAACTGTCGGGTCCACTTCTCAAGCCCAGCAGACCTCTCAGGACCAATTTACGGGGTTCTACTTATATACTACACCTATTTGAGATATTTTGCAAAAAAATCTCTACAACAGTTATTCACAGCAAGTGAAGAAAGCGCTGCAGCTCTGCCAAAACATTTTCATTACAAACTGAGCAAGTGCTCTTGAATAACACGAGCTCAGATCCGTTAGCAGAGGAGGACTTTGGATAATAAAGACACCTCACTTGTTTAACACAAATGTCACCTTTACATTATGTTTAAAGCAAACCGAAGAAAAATTTTGAAACTGTTTTCCTAAAGAAAAATTAGTCCCAAATGCTTTGTGTTAAGCAACAGGGAACAAGACAAGCGATATCCCAGCTTCAAAGTAACCGCACAACTGAAAGCTTCAAAGCAGAGAGACGACTGAAAGCTCCAATAGCTAGCAATCATTGCTGATGACAATCAGTCAGCCGCGGACCTGTGAAAGTCCATAGCTGCACAAACACACAACAAAAGGCAACATGGACATGTGAAAATCCATGATCGCAGACAAAACAAAGGCGTAATTCCGCGCTACCTCAAAGGTAGCAAGGAGTCAACCATGCCAGATCCCAAGCAAGGTTGGCTATGCAGCCTCTGTTGGGAACATCGCTGCAACTTAGCAAACATTCGCTAAGCTCAAAACAGAAGGAGGACAGGCCACCTATGGCCCATCCCCACTCAACAAAACCTGTGTAACATACAAACAGGATATGCAAAGTACAGCAACCACAAAAATTGCAGAAAAGGGCACTTCATACACCAACAAAAATGATTACAACAACAAAAGGCTCAATAGCCAAATTTGCAGAAAGAATAAGGGGAGGGGGAATCTATTCCTTCCTCTTCCTCTTCTTCTTCTGCTCCACCTCCTCCTCGGCTCCGGTCTCGGCTGGCTGCTGCTGAGTTGTCAAGGAATATACAATTTATGGACCACGAGCGAGCTCCGGGTGCTGCATTGGCCCAGACAGCTTGTGTTTCTTAGGATCAAAATCTGGGAGAACCTTGGAGAGCTTGTCATAAATCTTCTGCCGCATCTGATACTTCCCGTATTCCAGAGATGGCAGCAATTGCTTCTCCACGAACTTCATCCCCTCTGCCGTGGCCAACCAGCTGTCCATATGCTCGCCCATCACACTATGGAGCCAAGCAAGGACCGGTGGCAGGGCGGGACCCTTTGAATAGGAGGCATGGAAATCAGAAACTACTACCGCCCTAGCCCTATCAATGGCTAGAGAGTGACCTGCCATATAGCCCTCAAACTTCTTCTGCATGGCGACCCTGTCAGCCTCAAGCTGCACCACCCTTTTAAAAACTGATAAAAGTGATACGTTGTAGGATGGTATTATTTTTATCTTTGGCCTATTTGTGAATATTTTTTTGGCCTATTATGGAAGTCATGTTTTTCAACGAGTCAACTCAGTCTAAGCTCGGTTACGCATCCATGAAAAGCGGTCTTCGTTTAAACGATTTCTTCTGGTTTGAACGAGACAATAATGGCCGATCGAGAAAAGTGGGAAGTATCCGTGATTTGTTCTCACAGACAATAATTTGTTTGTAATTTTAAAGAAAAATAGCGGAAAAGGAAAAGCAAACATGTCCAACCAATATAAAGGAGAACAGTACCTTTTCTCTCATCAGGCATCTCTCCTTTTCTACATAACTTTGTTTCTGATAATCATTACCGCCACACACTCAAATCACGCTTTATACATGTATCTACATTCATTCGATATGTATACAGCAAATGCAATTTGACAATTTCACCCCTTCTTCCTTTGTTGTCACTTAAATCTACATCTATGATTGTTGAGTAATTGTTGCATTTGTGTAGTTCATGTGCTCATTGTAAATAGAGTTGAGTTTATGTATATGCAGAAAGAAGAGGAAGAGAAGGAGGAATTTGATCTGGGATCTGACGAGCCTGAGATCTCATTTCCCTTTAACATTACATCTCGGGTCGGTCATAACTCATATCACTTTCTATACCTATTTTTTTTAATGCGAAGCAGGGGGCTGTGCGAATTAAAATATAGTTATTCCTGTTACTAGAGTCCTTTTGGTAAGGGTTATTTGGCTGAAATGAAATAGCCTAATTCGCTGAGTTTTTGTAATGGATAATTTGTTGTTAACATCCATTTCAGCCAAATAAGCAAATCAAAAGGTACATCTACTTATTGTGAAGAGAATCTGAACATCCAAAACATTCTACCAAAGGAGCCTTAAGCATTGAGTTGGACTAGCTAACTGGTTGAACTCAATCTAGATTGGCCCAAGTGTTTGATGGCCTAGTTGAGTGACCCAAACTGAATCATAAATTCTATCAACACCCCCACATAATTTGTCCTACACATTTTTAGAGCATTAATGAAAATGTGCCGGGGATTGTGAAAGTGTAGGTGCTTTATATGTTGGGAGATATAACGGCAGGGCCGGCGTATCGGTTCACAGAATGGCTGGAGCTGGTCCGTAAAAGAAGTAGCAAGATTCGCTCCTCTGGGTTCCCTCATCGTCCTCACAGAGTTGATACTATGCTCTCCAGGTTCTTGAGTTTTTCAGTCTTTGATTGACACAATGCTGCTTTATGCTGCAGTTGCTTTTCATTATTATATTGTTCTCAGGATCATTAAACAGTATGGTTTGTGTTTTCGTTATGGGGCTTAGATGTCAAATGAGTGTCGATATACGTAGTGTATGACTAATATGCAGATTTCTTATTGCCTTTTCTTTCTTCTAGTAATGAGCCTTATTGTATTGAACATTACAACAAGTTGCATGTTGGGAACTAAATGGACATTTTTATTATCAAATGAATTAACCGAATAAAATATGGTAATTTACCATAAACCCTCAGTGATTAGTGAATGAATAGTATATGAGTTTATATTTATCACTGTTCTAAAAATCGGCCTAGTCGGACCGATTAATCGGCCTAGGCGGCCCTAACCGAGGAACACTAATCGGCCTAGTCGGCCTAAAAATCGGCCTAGTCGGCCTAAAAATCGGCCTAGTCGGCCAAAAAATCGGCCTAGTCGGCCGCCTAGGCGCTAGGCACCCTTCAACCGCCCGACTAGCGCCTAGCTTGGTTTTAAAAAGCGCGCCTGAGGCGCGCAAAGGCGCGAGGCGCCTCTAGGCGATGACTTCATCGCATCCAAACATCCCAGGCGCAGCAGATTCCATAAGGCGCGCCTTTTACCTCGCCTAGTGCCGCCTTTTGCGCCTCTTTGAAGCGTCGCCTTTCACGCCTTATGGAATATGTCCGCTTAACTTCCTTCAAGCCTTTTGGCGATTCATCCCTCTCGATTTCCAAAATTTTCGTAGGGTAATATATGTATGTAAGGTAAGGTTACTTCACTCCATCAACTCAAAGTCTCAAACCTTCCGCTCCTCTGTCGCAGATTGCCATTTTTATGTTTTTTTTTTCCGGCCGTTCTCTTTGTTTCTTTTTGTTCGACTGCGTAAGTTTCTTTCTTCCATTCTCTTTGTTTTCTTTCTTCCGCTAGTCTTTGTATTCTTTACACTATTATTTTTAAAATAAATAAAATAATTCAAATTATGTAATTATACAACCATATAACAATCTTCCCTAAACCCTAATCCCAATCCGAATTTTATCAATTTTTAGAAATTATACATATGGTTTGTCGAATCTGTCAATCTGATTGTTTAACTTTATACTCTTGATACTTTATAAGTTTATTATATAATAATTAGTCAATTATATATGAGAGCTGGTTGTTATTAATAATCATCATATAAAAGTTTTTATAAAAATTTACTATTAATTGCTTAGGATTTGAATTAAGTACTAACAGTTTATTGTAAATATATTTACTATTAATAGAAGTATTTTTTAGAAGAGTGCTTCATGTAGAAGTTGTAAAAATATATTTTACCAAAGATATATGGTTTCGATCAGTGAGGCGCGTGCCTCGTCGCCTTGCGCCTCGCGCCTCGAGTAAATCGATGAATCGCCTTATGTCGCCTCACGCCTTTTAAAACTAAGGCGCCTAGCGAGTTTTAGAACAATGATATTTATATACCATTTTTTTAAAGTTATCAATTTAAAATACTCTGTTTTAAATAAAAGTAACTTCTCCCTTCCCTTTTTCTCCACCCTCCCCCAAACATACCCAAAAAAAGCGTAATTAAATACATTAATTGAGCCCATATTTTTTTTTTGTGAGGAATTGAGCCCATATTATTACCTCATTGTTATTTAGTTTCACTTTGACATTCTTCTTGACCATATACTTATACACATATTGATGACCTCTTGTCTGCCACATGAGTGTATTAGGATCTAGTTGGTAAGGGTTATTTAACTATAGCGAAAGGAAATAGATTGAGCAATCTGCTGAAAGTTAACACCTATTTACTTATTTAGCCAAATATTAAGTAGAAAGCTACTCATTCTGTTTATTTTATTTATAAGCAGAGTAAGCCAGAATGAGTTACTAAACGGAGCGTTAATCATTATTGTTCTATTTTAGCCCAGAAGAGTCAAATTCAGATGTAAAAGACCCTCCACCTTGTGAGCAAGCGGCAGCAGAATTGAGTTTGTGGGATAGACTTGGCAATGCTGTGATGTTGGACATCGAATCAAGCGCCTTGTCCTGGAGAATGCTCGCTTCCCTTCACCACACAGAGCACAACAGTAGTACTGAACAGTCTGAGGATGAAATGAATAAAGCACTAGAGGTATTTACTTACTTTTATCATTACAACAACATCCAAACATTATCCATCAAATAGGAAAAACCATATCGCTATCTACAACTAAGAGCCCGTTTGGTAACACTGAAATCGGCTGAATTGACTGGTTCTGCTGAAATTTATGAAGTTCTAGTTGCATTCTGCTGATTTATGAAAAAATTATATTTAAAATATTTTTTATTAATAAAATAAAAAAAATTACATGAACAATAGCCAAAATGATTTTCAACAGTAACTTCAGGTAATACAGCCAGAAAAGTAACTCCAACCTTACTTTTTCTTATTATTACACAATTCTGCCCGCGAAATTAAAAGTTACGTGTTTGGTGAAAAAGTTGGCTGATAAACCGAAAAACAGGGTCACCAAACGGGCTCTACGAATAATGGGGTGTATTTTTACCATCCGAAATTAATTTTTACATTTTCTTCAACTTTTTACTTCTGGTAAGGTACCTCCATCCTATAAAAGTGTCCTATTATGAAAGTGTTTTTGTACCAAAAGAGAGCCTTTTTTTATTAAATAATGCGAAGTTTCATGTATTATTTCAATATATTCCAATATATAACTTTTAAAGACATAAACACGACTCTTTTCTAGGGATGGAGGGAGTTAAAGTAATTAGTGGGTGCTTAAACTTTTCTACAATGAATTTTTATTTATAATTAATTGTATCATATTTAACACGTGTGCTACTCTTTTTGGCTAGTTGAAGAAAGGATTACCTTTGTTCAATCAAACATGACTTTCTTTTTGGACAATTCAGTGAACTCTTTCATTTGGGGATGGAGCCAGGGAGGGATTTTTTTTTCAAAATAACTGCTTCACCCGAACATACGACTAAGTAACTGACATTTATCTCTATTACCGATTCTTGTGTCATTATTCTCATTATTTGGGTCATTCAAATGTAGTATTGACATTCATTTAGGTATCATTCTGATAGTTATTCTTCCTCTTCCTTTTGATGTCTTTTTGCATCGTTCTATTGCTTCTATATTAGGACATGATAAATAATAGCTGACAGCTACATATATGATACTCCCTCCATCCCTTATAAGTTTGCCAAGTTTGACTAGCACGTGGAATAATGAAGTAATTTTTTTTTTGAGTTCTAGGTTTGTGTAGAGGAGAGAGAAATACTAAGAACCACAAATTAGTTGCTTTAAATGGAAAGTGGCAAAGTTTTTGGGACAACCAAAAAAGGAAATATGAAAAAGTTATAAGGGCATATGTCCTAATAAGAGCAGTGCATAACATTGATCTCTCTGACAGTTGTTCCATCCCCTTTGTGGAAACAGGTCACTGTTAATTCTGGGGGTGTGGTTTTTTTTGCACTATTCAATCAGCCTCAAGATGATGAATCTCCTTCTCCAAAGGAAGCCGTAGCTGTTATAAAGATATCATCTTCAAGGATGGCCACTCAATCAGAGCGCCTCGGTTATGAATTTGCCAAGTGGCTAGGTGTTCGGACCCCACAAGTTGTACCCCTTTCTTATACAGATTATGTTATCGCTGTGGGGTCATTTGGTTACCTACTCCTTAAAATGTTCCACTTAGTCCAATGACTATGAAGTTATTTTCTCCTTTGGTCCCTGACTTTCATTTTTTCATTTTGGATGCACGACTGGTGATTTACTGCCACTTTTGGCCCCTCTGATCATATATCTGGCCAATTTCTGTACACTTTAATTGATAGAAGGACCAAAAGAGGCAAGAAGTCTATTGTCATTCCATAAAAACAGGAACGAATGAAAGTTGCGAAGCCAAAAATGAAAATTTCCTTGCAGTTGTGTGATCAGTAGTGTAGTTTTATCTCTAATCACATTCTATTGTTGGATTAGGTGTGCAGTCATTTTTGAAATTGCGTGCAATGTTTAGTTTCACTCAAATGTGCGCCACCATGCAAAGTATTTCACCACCCTCTCCATACATATTTTTAAATTGTGTAATATAAAATGATTATTTTAAAAACTCAAAACAGACATGATGTAAACTCTATACAGTTTTACATATTGTATATGAGGTTTTTATTATCCATCATGCCTCTCCCTATAGTTAAAACTTAAAACCACAGTTTGAGATTTCCTTGTCCTGGAACTTTGCAGGCACGGGTTATTCACAACTGTATTCCGGAGTGGTTGCAGATAAAAGATGCTGCAGAGAAAGCAAAAGAAGCGGCTATATCAGAAGGTGATGAAATCGGTGAAATGACATGCTCAGAACTTCTAGAAGCTCTTGAATTAAGCCGATGCATTTTACTAATGAAGTGAGTGTAACTTTGGTCATACTCTATATGTGTACTACTGTACTATTGTCTAGCCTCAATATGAATGAATAATAGACTTCTTATCATTTTAGAATTTAGAGAGTTAATACCTGATCAGTCTTTTACTCTATCACTCAATTTGGTTGTGACCCTTTTATTGGATCCAATTATGCCCTCCACTGTGAACTTTGAACGAAATGTAGTTCTCATACATATTTAATTTTTAGTAATGAGGTTTTATTGTACTTTCACACAATTTTTGCACTTTTTTTGGATAATAATTTGTAAATATATATATCCAGAAAAATAGCATAATACAATGCATCAAAAATCAGAAAACTATCTAAGCTAGCTAGCTAACCTAAAATAGCATCTACCATTCCCCCCACCCCCTACCCAAAGGTAGAGGGCAAGGGAGAGATTTTAAAATGGTCTAGCAAAACATCAAAACTAGCACGGGACAGGCCCCGACTTAGTGTCCAAAACAGTCCAACAAAATCAAAATCTAAGACATAAAAAACAATTCATGTAACTGGGCCGGAAACTAATAAAAGTCCCTAGACCCAGCAAAGCACCACAGTACACAAAATGTCAAAGCATCCAGGGATCAGGTCTAATTAAAGTCCTCCCAGCAAAAAGCCCTCATAGCAGCAATCCAGTAGAGGCCCACGATCCAGCAGCTTACCCGTGTCGCCTGGGCCCTAGGGTTTCCGAGAAGTCAAGCCCAAACACCAATCCAGCAATCGTAACTCGCTGAGCGCCGCAGCACTTGGTCGGGAAATTTCCAACGGCTACAGTGACGGGACAGGCGGATAGACAGATGGCTAGTCAAACGCAGTACCTCCGTTACGTCAGCGATAACGTCAGACTTACCACCTCGTCATCTCCGGTGCAACACCGGCCAATCAACTGCACCCAAACTCCGAAAGCATCAGCCACCTTACACCGGTGGCATCGTAACACCATCCTACCCAACCTCTGCATCACCGGACTCCGGCATCCACCCAGCGGACTAGCGAAGATCGGAACAGGAATCAACCAAAGCCAGAAGAAGAAGCTTTCAAACTATAACCCCCCCACACCCTCCCACCCCCGTCAAGCCCTGGCAACCCCCAACGGCACCGGTGAGACAGTAACAGGAGGTAGTAAGACAGTAGCCAGAAATGGACAAACCAGCTACCCCACCATACCCACTCTTTCCTCCTGTGGCCGGCGGCTTCCAGCGGTGGCCAACCGACGAAGTCCCGGTGAAGTAACCAAACCCCCACTTTCGACCTTGCAACCACATTCCGAGAGATGATTTGTTCAGGCAGACTGGCGACCAACAGTAACATAAGACAACCAAGAACCATAACATCGAGACCCAAAGCCCACAACCCGTTACCGGAAAACAAATGAAGAAACTAACTGGGTAAAAACAGTGAAAAAGCATATCAAATAGGGTCCAAAACCAAAGCAAAGACACCGGGGTGTTCTTTTAACTCCGGCCACAAACAACGAGCACCGGTGGGTGCCATCTCCGGACCCCAAGTTTTGGCCAAACAAGGGGTCTGTAATGTGACATAGCTGCAATGGAGGGACAAGACAAACCTGCACGGCTGCACCTGGGGCTCCCTCTCCCTGTGCTCCCACAAACCTCCTCCTACTATCCGTGGAAAGGGTGAGTCTTACCGGAGTTGAGCAGCGTCAAATATCAGCAAGGCCATCGTCAGTTTCGGGAATCTGCATCGTCGTGTACCAGCGCCCCTCTCCACTGGTCCCTCGAGCTGTTAAGTATTCCCAAGCCATCCCGGCGCTATGTCCGAGGACAAGGTCGCTGCTGACGCCGGACAGCTTTCGCTGTGGCTGTAACGAACGACGGGAAGACGAGGTGAACTCGATGGCTGTCCTTTGAAGGGCAAACCAGCAGTAACCAAACTGCCAGTCCCCAATCCAGTAGCTAGACCTCCATTTTTCCGGTGTAGTTATCTCCCTGGTTACTGCCGCGGCGCCGCCGGGAAGCTAAGGACTCAGATCTGCGACCAAACCAACCAGAGTTGAAACTCCAAAAAGTCACCAATAATTTTTCAAAAATTCATAGGTCAGACCCTATGTTGAAGCCAATCAGCCATGAAGCCCACCGGAGCCAGGAGAGCTCCGGCGGCGGCGACCACCGCGAGTGGCAGCATCGGAGGGTAGTAGAGCAACCTAGAAAGTTTTCTAGAGAGAGAAACAGCTCTCAACTCTTAGTCTCACTACACAATTTTTGTACTTAACTTGCATAATTGAAGTCCTAGAATCTAAAAGAAACACGTTGACCAATAGGAGTTATACCGTACGATCATAAGTCCAGGATTGGGTATGAACTCCTTTGGAGATACACAACCCTATATAAAGAGGTTCAAAAGTTTTAACCACTGACTCAGTGACTTGGAAGATTTGTGGGTGTAGTGTGTCTGTGAGGAACCTTATCCGGACCAGCTGGTTTCTCAACAGAGAAGAGAATGATGATTTACACAGTTACTATGCATCCACTGAAGCTTCTTAGTTCTCACATGGAACAAAATTGTGATAAAGTGCTATCTCGTGTTAAGTTTTATGTGATCTTTAAATATATTAGGGAATCAAAAGGATGAAGAAAATCTTTTTTATAATCCCTTAGATTGAGGAATATGCTACATAGTAATGTTTTTTTTTCTAGATCAGGGGTGATTTCATGATTTAGTTTCCACTTTCCTCTTTTAAAGAGATAAATCAGTTTCAGGTTTTAGGCTGGTTACACTTAGCTAATCGGTTATGTTCATTATTATGTGGCCATGTGCTTTGTGACCGAGTTGAGTGGCCTGACTTGTTAATTTGATCGTAGTCACTATAAAATGTAATACAATTCTCCAATTTATATAGGGAGAACTCAAATTTATTAGTTTAATTAACCACACTATCATCACATATTAGAAGTTATTTTACTTCTAAATCAGGCCATGTAAGATGTACAATATCATTGATTTGCTTTAAGCTTAATGTTTCTTATGTACTCATTGCTGTAAAATCTTAGATTAATATCCTGACTACCAATTTTGCAGCTATATACACGGATCACCTCTGTTAGAGAGCTCAAATGCATTTGATTCCCAACAATCTGCCGAAAAAATAGCAGCTGCTCTAGGAAGGGTCATGGTTTTGGACCTCGTCATAAGAAATGAGGACCGCCTTCCATGTCGCCATCTGAGATGGCGTGGAAACTCAGCAAATTTACTGTTATCAGATAAGGTGGGTGATGTGGAAGCTCCTGAGTCAGCCTTCAACTCTCTAATCAATAGATGCAGACCTAGCATGATAAAAGCGTTTCAAAAAGAAAGAAGAGCCACTTCAATAGATGTCAAAATTACCCCTCCCACTTCGGGTTTATTATCACAACGCTCTGATCTGTCCGACGTGGCAGAGTCTCCAAAATCAAGCAATTTGAGTGTTAAAAGTATAAACTTAGGTGCCATTATCTTCACTCTAATTACTTATTCTTAGACCATTTGTAGTGGAGGGTTTTAGGAGTCCAAAAACCTAAATGTGGAGCTTTTGGACTCCTATTTGCTTAGTCAGTTGCTTACATTGGGTAGTAAAACGGAGTTTAAAAATGGAAAGGGGAGTGGAAGAGTTCAAATATAGAGGAGTTTAGACAGCCCAAAAGTAAAAGAAAAAAGGGGAAGAAAGGGCTGCGTGTGGCTGCTGTTACGGGGGTTGACGTCATGCTGACTTCATCCCTGCGTAAAAAATCACTCTTTTTTTAAAAAGACTATAACTATTTTGTTTGTGGTCCAAATTTTTTGAAAAATATATTTAAATTCATAAAATTTTACGATCTTTCATATGACATCAATATTGTATATATAAAATTAAAAAAATGAAGTTTCTACAGCTAGAGAGTTGTTTATGCCTAAAAAACACGAAACAAAAAATTTTAATTCACGTCGTCTCCACAAATAACTGAATATTACATGAATTCATTTTACTTTTTTATTAAAAGTGAAAATAGTAAAAAAAAATTAATGATGTTTTTTATTTTTTAACATCGAAATGTGTATTTTTATATTTCGTAACTCTTCAGAAATAAAATCAAAGAAAATTATTACTTATAATAATTTAATTAATGTTTTATTAAACTGATATGCAAAAAAACTGTTAAGTGTATTTTATTGACGGTGCTGGAATGCGGGGAAAAACATTATTGACGGAGTCTATACATTGTTTTCATATCAACGGAGTTCATATATAAGTTTTTAGATTCCTAACCACTCCAAATGGTTTTATGATTTAAATCAGGCTAGTCCAACTAAACCAATGATTTAGATAAGATCGGACCAGAAGTATTGAGATTGCACCACCAGCCCATATGTTATGATTCTGACAATAAAATTAGACAAGATCATGAATATTAAAGATTAGGACCAGATCAAAGATAAAAAATTTCAGATTGGATCACATTTTTTTCAGGTGAAGAGAATAAGTCTTTAGATGATTCAACGTCTCCGGAATTTCATATCGTGGCTATAGACTCGGGGGTTCCACGCAGGCCGCCAGCTGGCAAACGTGCAAATGACCATGAAGTTTATCCTAAGCTGGTTGAGCTCATTATTAACAGTTATGAGTATTCATCTAATATCCTTCATGAGATAACAGGAGGAAAATTAGGGTTTCCTCCTAACGACTTTGAGATGATGACTGCCGATTCTCATTTGGCTAATATGAGCCTTGTTATTCACGAATTTCGAAGTGGATTTCGTGCAGCTTTACGAGATTTACAAGGATTTCATATATTTCTTCTCACACTTCATCAGAAACTGGAAAACCTCTTGAGAGTGCTTCTCACCATTATTGACAGAGCTTCTTCTTCCGGGGATCTTGAGAAGGAAGAAATGACGGTTCCTGAGTCACCACCGCCTAGTAGGGAAGCGGCAGTTAGTGAAAACAATGTTGATTCAAATGATTCAGAATTGCCAAGGGTAACACCTAAGCCATCATCATCTTCAGGGTGTAAGGAGAGCTCGGATGGCGGTTCTCCGGTTGCGCGTGAGGGTTGCCAGGGGAAGTTTAGGGGTAATGGAGAACCTCTGCATAGTTTGCGTTTGGCATCGAAACTACGTGACTTCCACAAATCTGCTAAGGTAAGTGTTACAATCTATTGCATACCTAAAATTAACTATTGTTCTGAAAAGACATCTGTATTTGCATGCCAAAGAGAAAACAAATGAAAACTTGTCTGGAACATAATTGTTTCATTGCATGATACCCTGGAGCTGATTTTGTTACTTAGGGTCCCTTGTTTCCATGAAAATATTTTCATGGTATATGTTTTCTCGATTTTCATATGTTCGGCACCGGAAAACGTTCCCTTCAATGATTTTTTTACACAATTCTTTAAACTTTTGTCGGAATTTACTCACTGTTAAAGCATTTTGTTTTCATTTTTGTTCATTAAACATATGATATTATACCTAAAGGGTATGTTTGGAACCTGGGAAAAACTGCTAAAGAAATGGTTTGTAAATCAAAATTTGATTAAAACTTTTTGTGAAATACGTAGTATATAAGAATAAAAGTAGGATTATGATTTGGAATATTTTAGGAATATAGTTTAGGATATTATTATGGTATAGAATCTTATAGAAATAGTCTATCTTGTAATGTATATTTGTAGGGACTTAAACCCTTCAATGAAGATACAGAAATTCCTTCCCTCTTCAATATTACTCTAGTTTATACACTTTGTTTCAACTGGTACCAGAGCCTTCAGAGATTTATTAGAGCATTTACAGAAATTTCAGAACCTCTTGACCTTGCTTTCAGCTCATTTCTTTACCACTTAATTTCTGAAAGTTTTCAGATCCCAAGAGCTTTCAGCTCTTTCTTCATCACCGAAACTCCCAAAGGGTGCTCTTGAAGCTAGAGACCAGACCCCTGAAGTCTGCAGCAGAACATCGTCACACGTCAGGCACATGCGCCGCCGGAAGTTCTCACCAACTACCATGCTCACTGGCGTGTGACGTCTTGTCGCTGGCCAGAATTCTATCAGAGTGTTCTCTATCTTCCGGTGTTATTCATTTCTTGGTTTTCTCGCTTTTGAATTTCATTTCCTTTTCATTCACCTGGAACCCACTGCCTGGTGTCTATGAATCTGGGTGTGACTAGTGGGGGAGTAGAGCACTAGTAGGAAATGTGCAGGGTCGATTACTATTGTTGGCAGAAATGAACAGTAGAGTAGTAGTACGGAGGCAGATCTAATGGATTTTATTGATCAGAAATTGTCAGTGGTGGTATTGGGCAGTGATCTGCCCACAGTTAGGCAGGGTATCTTTGTCGTTGATTCCAATGTTGTTGGCGAAGTGGTTGCTGGTGGCCAAGCCGTTGTTCCTGGTGTGGTGAGCGTGGACAAAGCTTTCGTTCGTTTGTGTGGAGCACATAAGGAGTCAACGCCCCAAACTGGTTATCTTATTTATTATACAAGATTTTGAGTTAACAATCTCAAAATTTTGTTGTAAGTTTATCTTAATATGCCGATCTCACCTTATTTCACTTCGAGTAATATGCCACTATTGATCAAAGAATGTGGAAAATTGGCATTCAAAAATCAAGGAAATTCAAATGCTCATATTGCTTCTACTACTGGTTCACCCGATGGATCAATTACTATTTCTCCACATCAGTATGTCAAATTTATTTGCTACCAAGAATCTCTAAAGCATTCCTCTATTCCTATCTCGGTAGTCGCTAATTCCAAACTTGTTAAAAGCGCTCAAAAGCGCGCTTAAGCGCCAAAGCGCAGGTGAGCGCCGGTTCCCCGCCTGGCTTTTGGGAAGCGACTCGCCATGAGAAAGCTCCGCTTTTCCTTCGCTTTTCGTGAGCTCGCTTTTCAATTAAGCGACCGCTTTTTTGAGCTTTTCACAAAAAGCGAAGGTCAATTTTTTTTTTAAGTTTTAAGTGTTATCGGCCTCACGCTAGAAATTAGGGTTATGTTCGTTCGATTCTTTCCACGCACCAGACAACGTCGCAGGTGAAGAAGTCGCAAGTGAAGAAGCCGTAGGTGATGAAGCCGCAGGTTTGGAGTTCGCCCAGACTTCTTTTGGGCTAGAAATCTCCAACTCGCCTGTGAGCCGCACAATCTCTTTCGCGTAAACATCGTTCTTCAGTCTTCACTCTTCAGGTTTACTCTGTTTTTTTTTTATTTGAAAACTTTCAGTCTTATTACAGACTACAGACACTTTAGCCTTTTGCTCTGTTTTTTTTTTGAAACACCTTTCAGCCTTAAACATCGTTCTTCACTCTTTAGCTAGTTACATAATTAATTTATCAACCCCAGTTTACTCCACTAAATTAAATTTTAGTTTATTCATTTCAGTTTATTGATTAATTAGTTTTTAGTTTATTCCAGTTTTTTCCTTTCATTTTATTGATTAATAAATTTTTAGTTTATTCCTTTCAGTTTATTGGTTAATTAATTTTTAGTTTTTTCCAGTTTATTCCTTTCATGTTATTGATTAATTAATTTTTAGTTTATTCAAGTCTACTACTTTCAGTTTATTGATTTATTAATTTTCAGTTTTTTCCACTAAGTTTATTGATTAATTAAATTGTACAGTTCATTTACACTTGCTTGATTATATATTTGTGAAATATGTATATGTAAACTGTAGACAAAATGTCTGGAGAACAATCTAAAAGTCAAGATCCTCAAGGGAGAAACACTACTTATGCATTTTTGGCTTAATTATACATTATATATATTATTTTTTTAATATTTTATAAGCATCGCTTTTTGTGAGAAAGCTACGCTTCGCTTAGCGCTTTCGCTTTTAAGCAAAGCCCAAGGTCATCTCTTTTGGACGCTTTTCGCTTTAAAAAAGTTTGGCTAATTCAGGTTGCTCAAACACATGTATTGTTTCCTCATCCTCGAAATGGATCATTGGATCAGGTGCCACAAATTATATGAGTGGTAATCCTAATCTAATTCTGATAGGAATGGGCCTATTATTGTAGATAATAATAAGTGGGCTTGTACTATAAATAGAAATACTATAAATAGTAGGAAGGGGAAAAGGAGAAGGCAGGCAAGTATTCTGTCGGACTTAGAACTGGGAGACTGGGCATCTCGAATCGTCCTAGGCTTTGTATACGTTCCATACTTTTCTTCTTCATCAATAAACTCTTCTTGATCTCTTTCTTGATCAATTCTTTTGGATTCTCTACTGTTCTTGATATTATTTCCAGTAATCTAACATTGGTATCAGAGCATTACGCTCCTGGTAGTTACAGAATTGATCGGAGAAGTACAGAAATCCAGAATTTTTTTTCGTTCGAAGGTGGAGGGTTCGAACGAGAGGCAAAATGGATCATCGACTGGAATCGTTGGAGCGACATCAGCAGGAGATGCATTCTGCGTTGGATGCTCTCACAACAAAAATGGATGCGATGGCAGAACACCTTCAGAACCGAGGGAAATCGCGGACGGCAACAACTTCTTTCAGTTCTCAATCTTCGTCGATAGCAGTTTCCCAAAGTTCATCATCGCAATCCGTTTCTCACAGCCATCCGCAGAGGTCTTCGCAATCCTCTTCATTTTTCAGTTCGCAGATGCGAACCCATTCTCCTAGGTTATCGCCAATTGCACAGGTCTATTCTAAATCGTGAGAAACTTCTTCTTCCAGTTCTCAGGGGTCCTCGCTAAGCGCACAAGTTTCATCGCACAATCCCCATCGCACTGTGCATCGCACTTTGAGGGAGATGGAATTACCTTCTTTCAATGGTGATGACGCTTTTAGATGGATGGATAGGATGGAACGATATTTCTGTTTCTATGCTATTAAAGAAAAAGATAAGGTTGAAGTTGCAGCTGAGGCTATGGAAGAAAGGGCGTTTCACTGGTTTCAATGGTGGGAGACTCAAATGAGAGACAATAGTTGGGAGGCTATGAAGGAAGCCATAACGCGGCGTTTCCAAACTACAGGCATGCGGAAGACAGAAAGCCAGGAATCCTCGCCAAGAACTACTCTCAGTTCGCAATCTTCTACGCGAAATACTGTTTGTCATTACAGTTCATCATCACAAGTTGAATTCCTCATCCATTCACAGAAATCTTCGCAGTCAGCATTGTTTGTCATTGTTTGTCGTTCCTACTTCAAAGGCACTTTCATATGCGAGTTATTCACAGCAGAATGTAAAGCAATCGAGAGAGGAATACTCATGTTCGCAAGTGCTATCACCAGCTGTTTCTAAACCTGCACAAGACTATCCCCAGTTGACCAAGAATACCCAGTTGAAGTCCGCTGATCTTGTAATCAAAAAACTGACGGTAGACAAAAACGAGGAGCAATCTAAAGTAGTTGGAGGACCTGAAGCTGGTACAGTTGATGGATTCCTCAATCATTCACAGGTATCATCTATTTCAGGAGCCAAAAATTTAGTTGACTCAAGAATGGGATTGCAGGGCACTCCATTGTTGGCAAAGAACATTGTGTTGAAGTCGGATGCATCTTCAGGTTTGGAACTGGATACAAATTGTGGTATTAAGCAATCCATGGGACATGCACAAGAATATCTGGAAGGAGGACATGAACTGAAATCTCTTAAATCAGGACCTCACTCAATTTCATGTGAGAAGTTTGGTCAAAGTGGAAATGGGGATAGGAACAATGCAGAAATGGGTGAAAGAAGTATTATCTTTGACAACATAATTCGAGGGAGTTTTCATCTCCAGTTTCTGCTCCTGTTTGCTGTGAAAGAAGTGACGATGAAAGGTCAAATAATGAAGGTCATGACCAAGCAATATGGAATGTATTGGGAAGGGAGAGGTGCCAGAATGAAGTGGAAGAGGAAGATCATAGCTGATTCCTATTACCCACCTTGAGGACAAGGTGTTTGTTTAAGGGGGGAGTATTGATAGGAATGGGCCTATTATTGTAGATAATAATAAGTGGGCTTGTACTATAAATAGAATTACTATAAATAGTAGGAAGGGGAAAAGGAGAAGGCAGGCAAGTATTCTGTCGGACTTAGAACTGGGAGACTGTGCATCTCGAATCGTCCTAGGCTTTGTATACGTTCCATACTTTTCTTCTTCATCAATAAACTCTTCTTGATCTCTTTCTTGATCAAATCTTTTGGATTCTCTACTGTTCTTGATATTTTTTCCAGTAATCTAACAAATTCTCATCATTTCATTCATATTTATCTACTTGTAGTGTCACTTTAGCTACAAATATACCTCATCGGTCCTCAAATCTGGTACTGTTATGCCAACTTCCATATTACCATTATCACCTGTTTAGAGTCTTCCTATTTTTTCATTTAATTTATTATCCCTTTGTAAAATCACTTGTACTCTTAATTGTTCAGTGACTTTTTCCCTAGATATTGTGTATTTCAGGATCTATTGGCCAAGGACATGAGTCAAGTGGGATTTATCTTTTGAATACATCAATCACAAAAGGTATCTCTTGTCTTGGGTTTGGAACTTTGTTAGAGACTCATTATCGACTAGGACACCCATCTCTCTCACTGAAGCAAATATATCCTCAGTTTAATCAGAAATCATCTTTACAATGTAATCATGTCAATATGCAAAACATCATCGTACTAGTTTAAGCCCTCAAGTTAATAAACGAGCAAATGTTCCCTTTGGCCTTTTTCATTTTAATATTTGGGGTGTTTGTACGGTTGTGCTCATACCTAGTCTTAATTTTGTTTTTTACATTTGTTAATGATTATTCTCATATGATGTGGTTATATTTTATGAAACGCGGGTCTGAGTTGTTACACTCATTTTTCTTGCTTTTTGCTGAAGTTAAAACTCAGTTTAATGTTCTTGTTTATGCGTTAAGAGGAGAGCGCCCAAAAATATCTATCTGCTCCGTTCAAGCCATTTATGCTTCAGCATGACATTATTCATCAAACTTGATGCATCAACACCTCCTCAAAAGATCTAGGTTTATTGAAATATATCTTAAGTAATGAGATAACACGAAGTAAGAAATGCATATTTCTATTTCAACGTAAATAGGCATTCCCTTCGTCCCATATAATTCTTCTTGATTTGACTTGGATCGGAGTTTAAGAAAGTGAGAATACAGTGGAAATGTATGGTTATGGTGAAATAAGAAAACAGTAAATGAATACAGTGGACATCCCAAAATGGTAAGTGAGAGAAATTTATCGGACAGAAGGAGTACTTGATTTGTAGTTGAAGCGGAGAAATTGGGAGCAAAGTGGAACAATACTCTCATGGTTCCCAATGTGCAACTCACTCAAGTAGGCACATTGTTTGAAGACACAGAAAGATACTCCGTATAAAAGATTGGTTGGAAAGCTTAATCATCTCGCAATCACTCGTCCGAATATTGTTTACTCTGTGAGCATAATGAGTTAATATATCTCATCTCCAACCACTAATCATCGGGTTGCTGTAGAACACATATTGTGTACTTGAAGGGAGCACCAGGATGAGGTATTGTTTATCAAAACCATGATCACATGAAAATAGAATGCTTTGCAAGTGCTGATTGGACCATATCTAAAGATGACCGAAGATGTATGATCAAAGATATACATCTGGCTATTGCATATTTGTTGGTGGTAACCTAGTATCATGGAAGAGTAAGAAACAATATGTGGTTTCCGTTCTAGCTTTGAATCAGAATATCGAGTTATGGCGCAATCCGCATGTGAGATCATATGGATAAATGATTTATTATGTGAAATTGGATTGAAGACACCAATTTCTGCAAAATCGTGGTGTGATACTCCAAGTTGCTATACACATATCGGATAATCTAGTATTTCATGAGTGAGCAAAGCATATTGAGGTTGATTGTCACTTTACTCGAGAGAAGATACAAAAGGGATTGATCTCTATAGGATATGTGAAGTCCCGAGGACAACATGGAGATTTATTCACTTAAGCACTAAATGGGATTCGAGTTGATTATTTATGTAACAAGTTGGGCTTGATAATATCTATTCTTTTAATCGGAGGGGGAGTGTGAAATATATATATTATAATAAATGTAGGAATATGCATTGAAATATTTAGGAACATACTCTAAATATTATTATGACATAGAATCTTATAAGAACATACTCTAGTGAGGTTTTGGTCTAGTCTCCCTTACTTTTGTACATCTTTTTTATATTTTGATAAACTTAGTAAATTTCCCCCTTCATTTACCCCACCGCTTGGGTAGTTTGCCTACTGGGTTCACAAAAATACTCTCTTTTGTAATGTATATTCATAGGGACTTAAACCCTTCAATAAAGATACATCAAATTCTACCCTCTTCAATATTTTTCTGCTTTATACTCTGTGTTTCAACACTTTTCAATATTTTACATAAATTTAGATTTCTTAGTCTTTTAATAATAGAACTATATAGATAAAAATAAATGAGTATTAACACATTTAAGTTGGTTTTTTGAGTTTAAACCTATTTTTCTGTTTCCACCCTAGTTTTCTTATCCATCCAATTTTGTTCGTAATTTCTTTTACTAGCATTTTCTAGGTTCCAACAGACTTGAAGTAACTACTTATTTTCCCGGGGAAAAACAGGGAAATTATATTCACAAATACTTATTTTTGTGCAATCAAATTGATCCTTGTTATATAATTTTACCCAAATCCTCAGTTGTTTAACCTTTACCCAGGTTGATGCAGAGCTAAACAAAGAGTTAGAACAATGGAATGAAATGCTGAAGAATGATGCTATTAAGTTATGCATGGAAAACAATTTCAATACAGGCTTCTTTGAAGGCAGTGATAACAATTACGTGGTTGATGCATATGAGCTGAAGGTATGTGTTAGATGCCATTTGTTAGAGGTTTATTCTGCTAGTACACAGTTTGCTGAAATTCTTGTTGATGTAAACTGTTTTGGTTACACAGGTAAGGCTTGAGCATATTCTTGACAGAATTGTGTTGATATCTAATGCTGCAAACACTGAAAAACCATCAGCAGTTTCTGAGACCCTTTTCATTGGTGGGGCCCTTGCTGCTAGATCTGTGTACACTTTGCAACACATAGGAATCACTCATGTATTGTGCCTTTGCACCAATGAAATTGGACAATCGGACTCTCAATATCCCGACTTGTTTGTGTACAAAAACTTTTCTGTATGTTCCTTATCTTTGTCTTTTCTTTCGCTTTATGGTATGTTCGGATCCCAGAAAATACTAGCGGAAAAGGAAAATATGGCTATGGAAAGTTACTTTCTTGCGTTTGGTTTTAGCACGAAACATGCAAAGCAAATGAAATATGATCAGTCCTTTTTGAATAACTATACATATTACCTCCGCCCCAAAATAATAGTTACAGAACTTTGGGGCACATAAATTAAGAAAGTGAGGTAAAAACTTAAACTACCCTCTCCTTTTACTAGAGCAGTGAAAAGGCAAGTAAAGTTGGAATGATGAAGTTGTAGTTTTAAGTAGAAGGAAGACTACAATAGGAATTTTATGTAAGACCATTTTCCAAAAAAAGGAGACATAACCTTTATTTTGGGACAACCCAAAAAGAAAATACATAACTTTTATTTGGGACTGGAGGAGCATAAAGTAGACGTGCTTAAACAAATATCAAAAATTAATTTTATAGAATTTAAACAAAATGTTTTATTTTCCCTCGCATGTTCTTCTCTTGCAATTTTCTGCTACGTTGTCCTTGGTGTTTTTTGCCCTAGCATCTTTGGTGCTCCAAACGGACTCTTCGGAAGTACTATTTTGGATTGATAGAAGCCGGTTATTTTGGATTTTGTTTTAAATAAACTGAGTGATGATCTGTGCCTTGTGCAAACAGATATTTGACAACGAGGACAGCAACATCAGCGATCTCTTTGAGGAAGCACACGATTTCATGGATCACGTTGAGAAAATTGGTGGTAAGGTTCTTGTTCATTGCTTTGAAGGAAAAAGCAGGAGTGCGGCTGTTGTCCTTGCATACTTAATGCTGAGAAAGTAAGTCCCCAAGTGTTAAGGCAATTGAGCCTTTTTAAACAGTTAATAACTCTCTATAAAAGTCATCATCATGGCATCATCACCAGCTTAGTCTCTATTGAGCTGTGGTAAGTGGCCTGAAATTTGCAGTGGCATAAAATTGTCTAAAAATAGTTAAAAAATTGTTGATTCCGCTAATACATTATTTATTTAGATATTATTTGTTTGGGGCAAGAAAGCGCTGACTAAGATGTGTTCTTTCAGAAGCTTCACACTTTCCCGAGCATGGAATGCACTGAAGAGAGTGCACCGACGTGCCCAACCAAACGACGGCTTTGCGAGGCTTCTATTGGAACTGGACGAGAAGTTGCACGGAAAGGTTTCCATGGAATGGCAACAACGGCGGCCGACGATGAAGGTGTGCTCCATCTGTGGGAAGAATGCTGGGCTGAGCAGCAGTTCGCTGAAACTTCACTTGCAAAAAGCACACTGGAAGCTTTCTTCTGGAAGTGTGGATAGTGCCATGACCATGGAGATTCAGAAAGCCATGGATGCGCTGAAACTCAGTCGTAGTGGGAGTGTCAGTCCTACACACAGAAATCCTAACCCAAACATGGTTGAATAGCCATGGACATTTGACCGTTAATGTTTGGCTTCTTACACTTTTGTATTTATTATTAGAGAAAATTACCCATATAGGACTAAAATATATCATTTATGCACAATTGCACAAATAGGAGTTCTCTTTAACGTCAACTGCCGTAGGACTAAAACCCAGGTGTTGTGACTTAAATACCCTTAATGAACCCTGAGCTTGGCATCCGTTTGAAATTAATAGTACGGCGTAAAGGGCTTCCTTTTCAAAAACCACGTCACATTAATACGTCGAGCTTTTGACGGTTGAGTCAATTGAGAGAGTATTCAATGGCAGATTCCGATACGCAGAAGTTGTGAGAGTAGTGGAAATACGTAGAAGTCGTGAGGGTAGAGGAAGAGAAAAATGCAGAAGTGTGAGAGTATAGGAAGACAAAAAGCAGTTTGTAAGAGCAAAACGGCCAGAGAAGTGCGTAAAATGGCGGATTCCGACTTCGAATCAACAGGCCAAAAAGTAAAAATTAGGTGAGACCTGGTACGAATTTATGTCGTATGATTCTGCTATATATGGAAATAGTGAAGACGTTTGTTTGATATTTGAAGTATGGAATGACATTGTTCTGCTATTAATTGCATATTGTTGTGGTTTTTGTGGAGTGTTTGAACAATGGTGTGTGTGTGGTTTCGTTCCTAGTGCCATATGTTACTATTTTTTGTTTACAGATTGAATGAAGTGTTATCAGTTGAATTGAATGTGTTTAAGAAGACATGATATAGCCATAGTTGTGCGATTTAAGTACTTAGGAATGACATTTATAGATTTGCGAATGAGATTTTTATAATATATGTCATATATATACACTGCTTCTTTTTATGTCATACAAGGTCAATAGTCATTACAAAGTACTATGCTCAATGATATATGAAATGGAAATAATCACAAGCAGAATGACATTAAAAGATATCTGAGGTAGTTATGTCAATATGTAAAATATGAATGAATGCTATGTAGAGTATTGATTTAATTGATTACAATGCATATGAAAGTTTTGTTATTAAATGTCATCTTGTATTGAAAGTGTATAACATATACACATGCTTGTTTTTTAATCGTTACAAGGTCAAGCCTCATTTCAAAGTATTAGGCTGAATGTCCTCTAAAATGGAAATCATCAAAAGTAATACGGTAGTAAAAGATAAATATCTCAAATGGACATAACTTCAAGAAGATGACATTATCTGACATGTTAATTATAAAGATAGTTTTGAAATCATGTCCACTAATACCATCTTTGTGACTGTAGTTCAAATTTTATTCTATATGGCAATATTGATGTAATAACTGTTTATTGCAGATTATAACGATGACATGTGATAGAGGATTGCTGGATAAGTTTGAAAAAATGCGTGTGAATTGCTTTTGCAATTTGAATGAGATTGGTAAGCGAATCAAGGAAAAGTTGAATACAGAAGAAATAAATCTTTTTAGAAGTTCAGTTCTAGACTGGATTCTAGATATAGAACATATGCCAAGATTATGGATGTTTTTACTTGGACGGTAATTTGTTGGTTTGGTCTGATCTGGTCTGGTTTCTTTGTATTTTTATAACTATCCAAGTCTGGTCTGGTCTGATCTGGTCTGGTCTGGGATGAATTACAGTCCAAGTAAAAACATCCTAAGTGGGCAGCTGAACATTTGTTTTGTAGCAAATTATATTGAGGAGTTCAATGGTAAGGTTGAAAAGGATGTCATAAGATTCCATGTAGGCAATAGCGTGATAAGCTTTACAAAAGCAGATTTGGCAATTGTCACCGGTTTGCAGATAAATGGGGCTAAATCAGCAGTATGTGATGATGTGGGTGGGGATATGTGCAGAAGGTATTTTGGTACCAAACATGCAATAGTGAGACAAGATGTTGTCCAAGCATTAGAGGGGTACAACAGAAACAATCCAGGAACAGAAGAGAATGATGATGTTAAACTAGGACTACTCTATGTTCTAGCACATGGACTGTTTGAAAACCAATACGCAATTCGCTTGCCAGGAAGATATATTAACTTGGTACAAGACTTGGATGCATTCAATTCTTACCCTTGGGGTGATGACGTTTGGGATGATCTACTCACAAATATGAAGAACAACGCAGAAGCACTCAAGGTCTGCACAGGACAAAGAGTGGCGTTCACAGGCTGTATGCATGCAATCCAAATCCGGGCCTTCGAGACCTTTCCAATATTGGCTAATGAAGGACTATGTAATGTTATAACAGAACGAGAAAATGTCATTCCTAGGACATTAAAGTGGGCTTTTCAGAAGAAACCATCAATACAAAGGTTTTGTGAACTCATTTTTAGTAATGACAAGGTAAATGCTGTTAAATTATGCACAATTATATATGTAAGTAGTTACAATTTTGAATACAATTACAAATAATATATTTTTTAATCAAAGTTTAATTGCCAATGTTACAGTTTGAGTGGACAAGAATAGTTCCAAGTGCAGATGAGATCCAAAGAATTCAAGGACTTGTAGGAGGGGAAAGCAATGAAACTAACAAGGACCTGAGAATTGATGCAACCATAAAGAAAACAAAGCAGAGCAAAATGGATGCAAGAAATAAAAAAGAAAAAGAAAAAAAGAGAGCAAGTTCAGAATGCAACAATAAAAGCACAAGGGTGGGAAAGAAAGAAAAAGCAGAGTGTAGTAAGCGAGTGTTGAGGAAAAAAGGGAGGATGGCTGATAGTGAAGAATCTATATCCAATGAGAGTGAGGATATGGCAAAGGCAGCAAAAAGCATAATCATGAAGACACTAGGCAAACAGTCCAAAGAAATTGCCAATATGCGTGCAGAGATGAAAGAAATGAAAAAAGAGCAAGATGAAATGCTAAAGAAGATTCTAAGTCTTGTAAAGGAAATATCAAAGAGACAAGGAGAGAAGGAAGTGAATGACATTGAGGAGAAAGAGTAAGAAGGACAAGCAAGAGAGGATACACATGTGAGTGATCAGCATAGTAGCACGCATGCCAATGAGCATGAAAGTTCTGAAGAAGATGCCCAGAATGACCACGTAATGAAATAAAAATTCTTTTCCATATAAGACACTTATTTCCATTTTATATGGCATTAAATACAAAAGGTTTAGTTACATATATAAAATGAATTTAATATTTGTTGAAGGATGGAATGGATGATGAAGCTATGAAGGATGTGAGTAATCAGCACAGTAGCATGCATACGAATGAGAATGAAAGTTCTGAAGAAGATGCTCAGCAGAATGACCAGGTAATGAAATAAAAAATATTATTTCCATAATAGGCACTTAATTCCATTTTATATGTTGAAGGATGGAAAGGAGATGGAGGATGAAGCTATGAAGGATATGAGTGATCAACACAGTAGCAAGCATGCCAATGAGGATGAAAGTTCTGAAGAAGATGCTCAGCAGAATGATCAGGTAACGAAATAAAAATTCTTATTTCCATATAAGACACTCATTTCCATTTTATATGGCATTAAATACAAAAGGTTCAGTTACATATATAAAACGAAGTTAATATTTGTTGTAGGAGAAGAAGAAAGATGACCAGGAAGCAATACACAATGTTTGCGGTGCTTTAGAAGAAGAAGTGGAGAATGAAGTACAATGGTTGGATGATGACGCAATTGCACAAACACTTGCTCAAATGAAGAATGATGCTCCAAATTTCAATCTCTTAAGTCAGACTGATGAAGAGAACATAGAGCAACAAAGCGTTTTGGTAATGAGAAATTATAGTTTAAATTTATTTTGTAATTTAGATTCTATTTATCACATGTTTATTTATTGTATTGCAAGAAGATGAATGATAAAGAGAAAACCATGAATGCTGAAGGCAGTAAAAGCAGTGGAGGGGACACCCAAAAAGAGATATGAATTTAATGACAATATAGATAGTATGTTACAGGAGCATGAAAATGATAATATTGAAATTATAATGACATAGCTAAGCATTTTTTATAAATTTATGCAGACCACAAATAATAGTGGAGATGCTAAAGAGCAGCAAGAGGGATCTGGGAAGCAAAGTGATGAAAACAAAAAGCAAAAAATGGAAACTGAACAGAAAACTTCTGAGGAAGTAGATAATGAAGTTTGGAGTCCGGAAAACACCCAATTCATTAGAGAATTGGTTCTGAATGCTGAGATGATTGAAAGGCAAATGCTTGGAAAAGTAACATTGGAAGAGGACAAGGAAACAAATAAGGAGACAAAAGAAGTTGGAAGCAAATTGCAGGTGATGACAGTAATTTTAGTGTAAACATAAATTATTACATTAATGTCATGTACATTGAATTGATTACTGACTTGTGATTGTTTGTTGTTGACTAAAACTAAAAGGAAACATCTAAACAAACTCAAAGGGTGAAAAGAAGTGCCAAATCTCCAGATAGATACACACCATCGGGGCAGAGCACTGAGCCAAAAAGAAGAAGAAAGCAAAGGGCCACAAAAAAGGCAGAAGAAGAATTCTTACCACCATGTAAAGAGAAGTATGGGCCGTTCTCAGAAGACCCAACAGATCCGGTTGATGAAGAAGAAGTCAAAAAAACCAGAAAATACTTGATGATTGGGCTGCTAAAAAAACCAAAGAAGGAACACAACGAGACTAGAAGATATAGGATAGAGGATGAGAGAATGTCCAGTAATCCGTTACTATTGGACACCATGAAGATTGACTCAAAAACTTGGATGTATGATCTATTTCAAAACCACCAATGGCTGTCTGACAAGGTATAGTTTATTATTTAAATTAAACAAATAAACATAATTTAATAATAACTGCTTTTCTGCTATTAAATGCATATATTGTGGTTTTTTGTGTGGGGAGTGCTTGAACAATGGTTTGTGTGTGGAACATTGGTTTTTAAAGTTTCTGCTTTTCAATAACATCTTAAATGGAAATAAAATGAAGAAGATGACATTACCATACAGGCTAATCATAAGATATTTTTGAAATTATGTCCTTTAATACCATCTTTTTAACTGTATCTATTTTTGCAGCACATAGAAGTAGGGATGTACTATCTAGAACTCAAACGAGTGCACTACAAGCTCAGGCAGAAATACGCAACAACATGACCTTTTTTCTTGCAAGTGCTCAAGAGGGAATATGATATGTTTGTAGACCGAAAGACAACAGTCAAAGACGCAGCTGAGAGGGAGAGTGTCTACCACTACATTCTAGGAACTTCAACATCCCACTCGCTGCACTGGGCAGACGCTGACTTTGTCTATATCCCTTTGAACACGGGGTGTCATTGGGTGTTGTTGGTCTATGAAGTAAAAGCAAGGAAGATGAAAGTGTACAACTCAAACAAGAGGAGAGGTGAATCCCTACGCGACATCGTGGCATACAAAGCTTGCATTCAAAAAATGCTACCCAAAGTTCTGGATTACCTCACTGTCTATGAAGCTATGGAAGAAGAACCAATGGGAGAGAGACAAATTGCTATTGAAAGTGCTGAAGATTGCCCACAACAGGACTCAGCGTAAGAAAAAAAATTAATATCTTAGCTACATGAAATCATATTGTATAAAAAAAAACTAATAGCAATGGTGTTTGTTGCAGGGGAAATTGTGGAATGTTTGTACTCAAAATTACGGAGTTCTTAATGATGGGGATGGACTTCTGTGAATTGACACCTGCACACATGGATCTGTTTCGAAAGAAAATGACTTTGGAGTTGATTCAATACAGCAGCAAAAGGCAGAGCAAGATACAGGAGAAATAGAAAACATATGCCAAAGATGTCTTTAATGAAATATGTGTTGAGTGAATGAAACTTCTAAGACATGTAGTTGGGTTTGAATGTGTA